TGTGTGTGTGTGTGTGTGTGTGTGTGTGTGTGTGCGCGCGTGTGCGTGCCTGCCTGCGTGCACACCTGGTGCCCACCAAGGACAGAAGATGGTGTTGGATGCTCTGGAATTGTAGTTATAGACAGTTGTGAGCCACCATGTGAGTGCTGGGAATCCAACCTAAGTCCTCTGGAGAAGCAGTCTGTTCTCTTTCCTGCTGAGCCATACTGTAACCACCCCCCACCCCCACATACTTATCTCCTATCATCTTGTCCCAACTTTGGCTGTTGTTTTTTTAGACAGTCTCACTACATAGATTAAGCTGGCCTTGAACTTGCAGCAAATCTCCTTTCTCTGCTTCCTAAATGCTGGACATGCATTGCTATGCCCACCAATGACATTTTAAAAATTCTATCTTCTCTAAGTTATTTGTCACTAGAAATTATCTCCTTAACGTAAGACTGTATCTTTATGCATTTCCAGAACCAGGCAGGTTCAAATCATTTATCAGGTATGTAAAATATTAATAAATTCTATTTCTGGATACTCTGAACTCTAGATGATTACTTCAAAACAAAATATATAAACATACAATCATGGTACATTAAACATGGCATATTGAAAAACATTTGCAAAGGAATCTTTAAATCAAAAGAATTACATATTTATTTCTAACAACTAAATACCTATCACAAAATGTACAAACTAGATTCATCTTTTCAAAAAATTATTAGAGGTTAAAGATATGGTTTAGCTGTTAAGAGCACTAGCTGCTCTTCCAGATAACTCAAGCTCAGTTCCCAGAACCTAAGTCAGGTGGCTCACACCCACATGTAACTCCAGCTCCAGAGTCTCCAGGGTCTGACTTCCATCAGCAACTGCACTCACATGCACACACCCCTATATATAAATAAAAACAAAAAACACATTTTTTAAAACTCACTAAAGAACATTGTTTCCTGTAGGTTCCAGTCTCAGTAATATTTTTGAATACATGCTGATATATTACCTGTTAAACATGTTATTCTCAAACAACTGAAGATTAATTTTTGCTTTTCAAAATATAGAATAAGAAATTAACAGTTGATTAATTTGGCAAAGTTATTTTCTGTCAAAATTCCATCTATTGTAGAAAATGTTAAAACACGTAAGATTCTCTTATTCCACCCCTTCCTACCCACCAACAAGCGTTAAAATTCATTCCTAACCCTGTTTTTTTTTATCTTTTTTAAAAATTTTTATTGATTCTTCGGGAATTTCACATCATACACCCCATTCGCTCTTATTACCCGGTCATTCCATGTCCACCCCCATTGTGCCGTCTCCTAAAATTAAGAAAAATAATAATAAAAGATGTATTTTTCTAAGTCCAACTTGGTTATTCATACATTCACCAGAACATGATCAAACCCTCACTGGCCTGCCCCTTTAGCAGAACTGAGTCATCCCCCTCTTGTACCCCCACCAGAAGCAATCAGTTGAGGGAGCCACCCTCAGCATCCTTATCACACTTCATAATAGTTCTCTTCCATGGGTTCCTGGGTTTTGTGAGGTGGGACGTGGGGGAGGGGCTGAGAAACAGGGGTTGTCCCTCCCTCCCAACTTTGTGTCTACAATTGTCAATGCCACTGCAGATGTAGCTTCCAAAAAAGTTGTTTTTTATGTGAAAGACTTAAGTTTCTTTTTATTTGAACAAAGGTTTATTCTAAGATGCTGGTATCATTGCTAAAAAGTTAACTTATAATGTATATGTTTAATTATTGCTCCCAATCTATTTTAGAACAAAATGATTATAGGTAAAGCAGCTGTCAGATTATCAAAAATAACTATACATGCACATTATTTAATTACACCTACAACAGTCTATTTAGTGCCACCTTTGAGAAATTTACAAATAAAGTTCTTGGATGATAAGATAGATAAAGAGCCTGGAGGAAAGCTGGGCAAGGTGGTGCAGGCCTTTAATCTCAGTACTTGGGAGGTAGAGGCAGGCGGATTCTGTGATTTTGAAGCCAGGCTCGTCTACACAGCTAGCATGGCCACACAGTGAGACTCTGCCTCTAACTAAATAAATCTGCAGTAATTTTCTTTGCAGAATAGCATTCTCCTTTACAAAGTGAGTTTGTTCTTGCTATACTTAGACATGCTTTAATTCAAACTGAGAATTTTCTAGTAATAGAGCTGTCCCTCAATAGAGTCAGTTATCTTGTGGTACAGCTTGCTCTTTCACTGGACAAACTCTAGCTGAGGTCAGTCAGTTATCCATCAGACTGTCACTGGGAGGGACACAGGATCTGATTCCATATATGACCTTTGGCAATTCCAAACTCTAAATCTAATTTAAACTATTTATAAACTGAGATTACTCTTAAACAACTTAGTATTTTAAGGATATCAATCGGCTATTTTAGGACATATTTCTTTTTATCACATTTTCAAACCTAAACAAAAATTTGAGAGTAAATAAAAATCACAAAGTGGTACTGATGCATTCCTTCCAGGGTTTAAGTCTACCCTGAACATATTACACTATAAATTCATAAATAACAGCTTTTTAAAACTTACCAGAATTCTGCTGGATTCCCCACCGTACTCTCATCCTGAATTGCCGGGTACCACTTTGCTGAAGTCTTCTATTTAGTCTTGGAAAATTTTGCTTCTTTCCTTCCTTTCTATTCAGTTTGATAATATCATCTACAAAAGAGGGAATGCCATAATTATTTTCATTTTGACATAATGAATAAATTGCTCAGGCTCTTTATAGTCAATAGATTTCTCCTATATTCCTAAACTTAGTCCCCATTATTATTATCTTAGCTTTTTCAGACAGCCTCAGTGTGTACCCATGGCTGGTTTTGAACTTACTATATGGCTTAGCCTACCTGAACTCCAATCCTTTTCCCTCATCCCAAGCTTCAATCAGCCATTGTACCTGATGAAATGCTTGAAAAAAGTTTCTGTAGCAAAAGTTCCGATCAACAGAGAAAAGAGGATCTACCAACTAATGAGTTCTGCCAGGGAGATGGGACAGCAGGTAGATTTAGCTCAATAGTAGTGTTTGCCTAGAACATATAAAGCCTTGGGTTCAAATCTAGTACTACAAACAAGAAAATGTATACTCTTGCTGTTGGAATGGTGGCACGTGCCTGTAGTGCCAGCAAAAGGAGGCAGAGGCAGGAGATCAGGAGTTCAAGGGTTAGCTTTGACTACATACTGAGTTTGAGGCAAACTTGGGCTCTCAGAAAGACCCAACCAACCAACCAACTCAAAAATAGCAATAAAGACCTCAAAAGACAAAATTTCTAAATTCACCTGAATCCAGAAAACATTTATTGTGTGTACACTTTAGGCAAATAATTCAAGTGTAAGTAAGTAAAGGAAACAAAAGTGTGAGACAGTCCTCATTCTCAATAGTTTAAATTATTTATGGAAACAGGCAAGCAAATACCAACAAAATTAACAAGTATCATCATAAAGGTATTGTATTCTGATTCTGTTTCCTCTAGCAAAGTCATTCATAATTACTTCTATTCTGACCTCTCTAATTCTGTAAGCTTAATTATTCCAAACACACCATCAAACTACCTCAGAATAATTCATAAACATCACACTGTATTAATACCACAGTGAACAATGTAAAAGATGAGAAAATTAAATATATTTCAAATTCTTATTAAGTGCTAAAGGTTACTAGAAGCCAACAATACACTCATTCAAAAAATATCTGAGCCAGGGAGATGGCTCTGCAAATAAAGGCACCTACCTCCTGGCCTGATGGCCAAAGGAGAGAACTGGTCCCCACAAGCTGTCCTCTGACTTCCATACCTTTCCATACCCTACTCATGCTGTGATGTGCAAGCCCAGACCCAAAGAAATAAGTGTCAAAAAAAAAAAAAAGGAAGAAATATCCAAACACAGCTGGGTGTGGTGGCATTCAATTGTAATCCTGGCACTTGACAGAGTGAGGCAGGAGGACTGTTGTAACTCCAAGGGCAGCTTTAGCTACATAATGTCACTCCATCTCAAGACAGAGAGGATGAAGGAGGGAAGGAAGGAAAGGGAAGGAAGGAAAACTCTCTAGTCCCTAAGCCAAATATTAATTGTGATGACTGACAATGCAAATAACTAAAGAAACTGCACTGTCAACAACTTCCTACTAAAGCTAAAGGCTATTCCAATAGTTTTTCCAAATAACTTTAACCATAGAGATGTCAATATAATTAGTTTTTCCTAAATCAGAGAAGGAAATACAAGAGATTATAAGGATCATTTTTTACATGATTTATATTATTTCTCACATAAATTGTTCTCTGGACTAAATACAGCAACATGCACACAAATATACAAAAATACATGTAATTTAAAGTACTTCAAAGTACATAGTTGTTTTCTTGATACCAATCTCCAACTGCAAAATAGCTTGCTAAATGTAAAAACATAAGGGCTGAAGGTATAGCTCAGTGGTAGAGTGCTCCACACTAAGCACTCCTAAGAACTTAGGATTGATCCTCACTACCACTTAATAAAAGACACTAAAAACCATTTGTGTTAGCCACATTTCTCCACTGAAGAAACACACACACATACACACACTGAAAGGTGTTTGGGGGGGACGGAGCTCATAATTCCAGAGGCTTCATTCCATCTGTGGTCACTTGGCCCCATTGTTTTTAGGCCTGTAGTGATACATAACATCATGAGGGAAGGGCATGGAAGGGAAAGCTGACTGCCTCTTGACTTCCTGGAAAAGGAGAAGAGGGCGCTGACCTTCAAAGGCATGCCTTTGGTAACCTACTTCCTCCAACTAGGTCCTACCTCTCCTAAATAACCCCTTCAGTTATGAACCTATCCATGTCTAATCCATTGAGGGTATCACTGCCTTCATGATTCCATCACCAGCTGGGGAACTTCAATTAGGGGCCCTTTGGGAGACACTAATTTAAACCATAACGCTAGGTTTAAACAAAAGGTTTCAGAAATATCAGAATTTATTAAATTCTCATTCAGTAGAAAACAGGAAACATTGTTTTCCCTTAATAGGCTACTATTTACTTTCCAGTAGACATCCACAACCTCAAAGTTTTGAAAATATACCCAAACAATGAATCTGGTCAGGAGATTAGAGCAAGGAAGGTGTTGTTTTTGATTACTAGGATAATTTTTTGTTGTTTTTGAGACAAGGTCCTACTATATATCCCTGGCTGGCCTTGAACTCATAGATCAGGCTATCTCGGAACTTAGAATTCTATTTTCCTCTACCTCCAAGTGCTGAGATTAAAGGTATATTGCCCAGCATAGTAGGGTAATTTTTACACAGAGCGTATGTATACAGCTGAAATTAACTTGAGACCAGGTCTCACTTTGGGCCAGGCTAGCCTCAAACTCATGATCCTCTTGCATTACTGGTGTATAACACAATTCTTGCCACAACTAAAAATTAAAAATATAAAAACATTTTATTATCTAAGTCCTCAGACAAAATCTTTTGGCATGAAAGGAGAAAATGGCCTCTCTTACCCAATGAGTACACAGGGTAAGTACTAGAAGATAAAATATCCATTACAATGAACTACTTTATAAAGTCTCTTCTGGGGCTAGAGATTGGTCAGCAGTTAAGAGCACTTGCTGCTCTTCCAGAGAACCCAGGTTTAATTCCCTGAGACCACGTGGCAGCTTATAATGGGCTATAACTCAAGTTCCAGGGGATCTGACGCCCTTCCCCAGTTTCCACAGGCACCAGGCACTCATGTGGTGTACAGACATTTGTAGGCTAAACACCCATACACATACATCATTTCTTTTTTTAACAAAAGAAAAACATTTCTTCCAGGGTAATCTTCATGTGTCTGAGATAATTACAGTGCATTCAATTATTCTCACAGCAATCTTATGAAAAAAGGGTTACAATATTAATTTTTAAAGTAAGAAACTGAGCCAATGTCAGTTAACTTGGTAGATGATCTACGTAAGTTCTCATATAAATCCAACAGAGTAAAAAAAAAAAAAAGAATAAATGAATGAAAGAATAAATAAATGAAAGCCAAATTTTTGGAGAGGAGTTGTCTATGAAACCCTGGCTGACCTAGAACTTGCTATATAGACCAGGCTGGTCTCAAACTCAGAGATCTGTCTGCCTGAACGTCTCTGATGGGATTAGGGTGTGTCTCGTCACACCCAGATGCAGATTCTAAAACTTCTGCAGACCTTGTAAGACTAACCATCTCTTCCTCACAAACCTCTAAGATTAAAAGAAAAGCACCTGAAGACTGACCTACTCTCTTGAGGAAAAGACAGCTCTATTCCAGCTCTCCACAGCACTTTTCTTCTATTTTGAAAAGAATCAGCCCTCTTTAACTGATGTCCTAATTATCAAACAAAATACAAAAAGAATAGAGGGGTGTCTCAGTCAGTAAAATGCTTACCCAACAAGCACGAAGACCTCAGTTCAGATCCCCAGCACCTATATACAAAGCTGGGCCTGTAATCCCAGCACCGGGGAAGCAGACACAGACCTCTGATAACATGCTGGCCAGCCAGGTTAGCCAGATGGACAAGCTTCAGACTCAGTTAGAGGCCCTGACTCATAAAGGTAGACAGAGATTAAAGAGGACACCAGATGCCAACTTCTGGCATCCACAGGCAACACACACACACACACACACACACACACACACACACACCACACACACACACACACACACCCTTCCTTAACTCAAAACACAAAATGGCTCAGTGGGCAAAAGCATGATGACCTGAGTTTAATCTCTGGAACTATTGGCTGGAGAGAACCAACTATCTCTAGGTAGTAACAGTCACCTTTCTTAAACTTTTATTTTTAATTATGTGTGTGTGACTGTAGGTTTGTGCATGTGAGCAGTGTCTATGGCCGCTGAAAAAAGAGGGAATGGAACTGGAGTAACAGGAAGTCATGAGCCAAGCTGCTAAAAGTGGGTGCTGGAAACCAAACTTTGGGCCACTGCAAGAACAGAATATGCTGTTAGCCACCAAGCCAATCTCTCTAGCCCCCTCCATCACTTTTTTAGACAAAAGGTACTAACAAGTAATTTATCCACAGTTATGTGGTTAGAAGTGTCAGAAGCAGGGGCCCGCTGAAATAGTATAGCTCTAGATTACCTATCACTAGGAGCACAAAGCTTGTGAGTTTATTAGGAAATTAAATGTATATTAAATGTTTAGTCCACTGCCTAGCTGCCTGTAAGCATCCAACATCAGTTATACGGATTGACGGCTATCACTCAAAAGCTGTCCTCATTTTTTTTTTTTTTAGCTTATTACTGATCAGCAGTGTCATCAGACTAGAGGCCAAACATATTCCTGACGATTTTTCTAATTCAAACATTAGGTTCTGATCTGAGGTAACCCTAGAAACCAAGAAAGCGTTCTCAGCTGCTGATCAAAAACTTTCCCAATTAACATAAAACGTAACACGGATGTAAAGAAATAGCAAGCAAAACAATGTTTCCAGGCACAGTATTACCCTAAATACCATCCTCAGAAAAGGTCACACTTGAATTCAGCAGTCAGTTATTTCATTTTTAAAAATATATCAAAGAGGGGTGGTGGTGGGGAGCAAAGACCCGGAAAAAGCAGGCAACTTCATTCTACAAAAATGGAATCACTTTGGGACCCGCTAAGTCAAACAGAAGCCTTCGTTTGGGTGGATCTGAATTTTATTTAACGAAAATAAAAACAATCATCATGCTTTTTATTATTATTTTCCTTTTTACACAATCAACAGCAACCACGGAATCCTTTTGACTAGGTGCGCTGTACCCCTCGTTCTACCTGACGTTTCAGCAATCTGCGTACATCTCTCCCTCCCCGCCCCCAACTGGCTAACTTTGAAACCCGGCTTGGGAACATGCTTCACTCAGTAAACACCTAACACAACACAGCAATATGGTCCACGCTTAACGATGCTCAGAGCGCCCGTTCCGGGACCGCGTCCCCGCCCCCGGCGTTCCCAGGAGAGCGCCGGTTGGAAATCTCCGGTCCCAGGCGTAAGTCTGGGCACAGTCACGCCAGGCAAACCCCCTTCTCTCAGCTGCCTG